CAGGCAGTCTACCACTAGAAATTATGTCAACTTGGTCACTTCATGGGTCTCACCCAAAGTGACAGGAAATACAATTGTTCCCTTGGGAATCAGATGATCTCCGGTAAAACCATAAAGGAGGATAGAGGTAGGCTTCAGATCTGCCTCGTCCAATTGCATTTCCTCGAATGCTCACTGAAATAGGATGTTCACGGCACTCCCATTATCCACCAACATTTCGTGGATTTTGCACCGACCTATTTCAGTCACGATAACGAGTGCATCCTCATGAAGGTGATGCAATTGTACCGCGTCTTTCTCTAAGAATGTAATATCCTCTTCTCTGCACACTTAGAAGTTCGTTACGCCGTGTTTAACACACTCACGGGGTCATGGCAAGCTTCGTTAGCGTACTTCTCCTAAGCACCTCAAGAATTCTCTACGAGGTGCGAACCTCCAAATATAATTCCAACTAAATGGAGACCCTTGCAACCACAGCGCTTCTTCCTATCTTCCTCTTGATCCTTTTCCTAAACGGGAGTTGGACCATCAACATACTCCTTGAAGTGCCCATTTTTAATAAGGTCTTCAATAGCCTGCTTAAGAGTTCGACATTCGTCGATATGGTGCCCATTGTCCCAATGATAACGGCAATATTTTTTGTTGTTTCTTATTGAAAAGGGATTTTTCATGGGCCCTGGCTTTCTAAGCAAATTAGCTTCTTCTGATTTATCTAGAATAATTGATACGAATGCATTCAATGAAGTGTACTGATTCTAGTCATGATCGCGACGAGGAACTTGGGTATAAGATTTCTTGGGCTCAAACCGCTGTTTTTTTCCCTTAATTTCTTTGATCGTCATTAGCCCATTTGCGATCAGGCCTTCTACTACTCCCCCCCCCCCCCCCCCCCCCCCCCCCCCCCCCCCCCCCCCCCCCCCCCCCCCCCCCCCCGGTTTTCCTCTCTCCGATTAAAAGCGTTGGTCGAAGGACCGAAGTCGTGGCAATTCAAGGTTGCCACTAAATTCTCAATTTTGAGATATTTCTCAATGAGGTTGTAGAAGCAGGTGAGGGAAATATCATCCTCAAATTGTAGTTTCTTCCACAGGTTGGTTTTAGGGGGGACTCCCGTAATAATAAGAGTTCGAACCGAATCTTCGAGTGTATTAACCACCTTATGAAGCTCCTTGTGGAACCTGTCAATATAGGACTGGAGAGACTCATTCCTCTCCTATCGTATGTTGCTCAGATAGCTCAACGACATTAAGAACTTCCTATTAGCCTGGAAGTGTCTGAAGAATAACGAAGTCATTTGTTGCCATGAGTTGATAGATCCTGGGGGAAGCGACCTAAACCAGTGCTTAGCATAGGCAGTCAGAGTCGTTGCTAAGCAGCGACATTTCACCAAGTTGGAAACTTGGTGAAGCTCCATGAGGTCGTTAAACTCATAGAGATGATCCTACAGATCAAAATTCTCATTGAATGCTTGCATGTTGGGCATTATAAATCTCGATGGGAGAGGAGCAGTCATGATTGCTAGAGAAAAGGGAGACACCTCAGCGACCTATCGTCACTCATTCTGATGAGCTCTAAGCTGATCTAGAGCTCTTTATGACTCCTCAATCTAAGGAAATTGAGCCACCTGAGGATCACCTTTCACAATGTGAGTTCGCTCCCCATGATTGTGATTGAGGAAAGACAGCAAATCAGACTCTTCCTCACCTCGGCCAAAGCCTCCGGCAAACCTTGACACATGCTGGCCCATGTGAAGGCACTGAATGGCTAAGGGAGTTATCCTTACCTCCGTGATGGTCAAAACCGACCTGTGCTCAATAGGTATTTTCCTTGCGATGATGGTTGAAAACATCATTCCAACGATAGTGGGAATCGTCGTGCTGCACAATCTTGCACGGGTGCCTATGCGATGTGGCGTGAGACAGCTCATCATGTGACATACTGCCAAGTTGCAAAGTTACAAGTATTCTACCTATTTCATGACCGTTATTCACTAGCCCTTTTGAGCCTTTTGGCCCATTGTTAGCCACTTGCTTTCCCTTATTTTTATGTGTTGTAGTGAGTGTGGTATGAGCTTTCGCTCGCTTCCATGCTTTAGCACGACCTACAAGCGTTTTTTGAGGTGGTACCGTCTTGCCAGAATTGGGCAGCACGATTTGATCCAAACGATCTAGCCTTCGACTAACCATTTGGAGAGTATTATTGAACCTCTCTAGATAACTCATCATAGCTGGATTATGCTAAGAGGTTGAGGGAATATCTATCGCGGTGTTGGAGTAGGTGCCTTAGAGCCAATCAATTATTGTGGAATTGACTCTTTGTAATAATATTTATTAATCAATAAAAGGCATTATCCACTATATCACATAAATCATATTATATGTATTGATATATGTCCTTAGGATGGTAGAACTGTGATGAGGGTATCAAGTTTTTCAAATCTTGATAGTGAAAACCCTATGATCACATATGGTGGCCATTCTAGAAATGTTCGTAACCCTAATATTATTCTAACCAAGGACACAGATAATACAGTAAGGCTATCATAGTGTTGAACGACCCTGTCGAAAGATAGTGACTGATCTCACTTGTCAAGGTTGTTTGCCGACAACCTGGTGCGACACATGGGTGCTTGTTAGAGGCAAGTTCACTAGACAGGCCCACCAAAGGATTCCATATGGATAGTAACCCTAGTGTCTATGGAATAAATTCTAACGGATGGTGGTGCATGTGATCCTTAGACTTGAGATCATTGGAGCGCCTTGTGTACCAATTGGTGTAGTTTGATACTAGCCCGACGTAGTTCTATTCAGAGTTATCAATACAGTAGTGATTTGCTACATTGACAAGTGTATCGAGACTATGGTGGATTGAAAAATGATTCATCACTCCTAGGTTCGGAGAAGTTATCTCACTGGGTAATTCAGTAAATGGCAATGACACTAAATATGTGGCCATAGTGAGATTGAGCTGTTGCTCTATCCAATTTAATATTCCTGTCATTGGTCCAGTAACTGAATACAAACATGTCGAGGATATCTGAGTTAACACTATTTTTGTACCTCAGTCTCGATGAGATAATAGTTGATGAAAGGATTTGATTACACGGTAATCATATCGTTGACAAGCTACGGTTTCACTGAATCTGAATCTATCAAGTGGACATGATGCCTTGTTAGGGGCCAATCTTAGTCTGTGTGTAGTGAGACGATTAATTGGTGTTAATCGTGATACTACATACTGTCGATATGATGAGAAGCCTATGGGTCACACACTTAGAAGATAATTTAATAATCAATTTGTGAGAAGGGTATTTTCGTCTTTCACGACGAAAGGGTATTTTGATAATCTCGCAGTGCAATTAAATTTGTTGAGGTTGTTGCCTATGTTTAATTTTAATATTAAAATTAAAATTAGTGAGATTATATTTAAATATATGTGTGCATATATTTAAATGAATTATTACTATTAATTAAATGTTAATATATTATTATATATTAATTGATTTTAATTATAATAATAATTAATTAATTTAAAATACCAATTACATGGTGTTTTGGTTGCAAGGGTGAACTAGGGTTGAAGCCCATGGCTATTCCTAAGTGAAATAGGGTTTTAATTGTTGCACTTTGTAAGTGCAACTTAAAATTAAAACAATAGATTTCATTCATTCAATTAAAACCCTAGCCACATAAAAGCTCTCTCTCTCTCTCTCTCACGTTTCACTCTTGAGTGAAAAAGAAAATTTTTCTTGTTCTTCTTTCTTGATTCTTGTAGCCCTTGATTGTTCTAGCAAAATAATCAAGGGTTTTGCAGATTGTCTTCGTGTGGATTTCCTTGAGTGCGATCCTACATTGGATTGATCAGTGAAGAATCACGTGAGCAGTGTCGATGAACAGTATCTGGTGAACAATGTTGATGAACAATAGTTGGTGAACAGTTATGTGAACAGTGTTTGTGAGCAAAATCAGAGATATTCGGAGGAGCCTCCAAACGTGTGTAAGCATTCTGAATCCTTGTATGGATTTGTTTTTACACAGATTTTATTTTACGTTTTAGTTTATGGATGAAAACGTTATAATCTGTGCTCGGATCTTGGTTCGTGTAATTGACCATTCGTTTTAAATATTACGTTTTTCCACTACGCAAATCCAGTCAGTTACTTACACATAGCACCTTAGGGAGTTGGAGGCACTTTAGGAGAAGTAACATCCTATACATGGGGGGATCTCCTCATTTTTGGTGCTAGTTCGCTCGATTTCAAGACCATGAGCCATTCGTTCACTAGTAAAATTGATTGATCAGAGATTCTGAATGAAAAGAAAATATGAAATATGGCCCTCCTTCTAGCACCAAACTGTTGATGCATGATTTTGACACCAATGACTCACATGTGCAAAGTGCTAAGCTGTTCTTAGAAATTACACTTGAATGATTATAATCAGATACAAAGACTAAATAATAAATGAGAGATATGAATTTTAAAGTGGTTTGGACGCCTAAAGCGAATCCTATGTCCACTATTTCTTTTATATATAAGAGATTACAAGAGGTCGTGTATAGTGAATAATGAGCAGGGGTACAACAACTGAGTATTCGGAGAGAATATCAAGTCAGTCTCTTTCTCGTAGGTTATCTTTGCTCTGAAAATAAAGATTACAATTAGAGAGCAGGTTCAATATCAGAATCCCAAAAATGAGAGGGGGAGTCCTCTATTTATAGTAAAGGAATTCAAGGTAATGATTACAAATATGTAAGTGGGTAGGTGTCATGCAAGTCCTTCCTTGCCTCTCATTGGCTGATAACTTAGGAAATATCCTCAAATTACCTAGGGCTTGGACAGGTGTGCGGCCCTCAATCACTCATAGACAAAACTTGAATCTGCCAAGTTGATGACAACCATACTCTTTCTGTCATGGAGCGACATGGCAGCTCTTGGGCAGCATAAAGCCTTCCTAAACTCTTATTGGTGCTTGCTGATGTAGACTAGTGTCAACCCTGATTTTTTAGGCATAACAATATGGATCATAGGGAAGCAAATGAGCTTTATCTTTATCCTTCCAGACCTCATCGATGTACTGGATAATGACGGGAAATTCACATATGGCTTTGCCATTGTGAATGAGAACTGGGATCTTTTCATGAAGTGGGTTCATCTGCAAAAAAAGAGAGCTCTTGTTCTTCAAGTTTTGTTCATCTTTGAACTCATACTTTGTTGATGCTTGATTTCGACACCAATGACTCACACGTACAAAATGCTAAGTGGGCTTAGAAGTTACACGTGATATGGGAATGCGTAGCAAGGAAGTAAATAAAATGCAGTTTTTAAAGTGGTTCGAATGCTCAAAAACGGTTCCTATGTCTACTGTTATTGTATTAATTGATGGTTACAATCAGGTCGCAGATAGCGAGCTGAGTTACAATCTAGAGAGAAAGAGAGAGAGAGAGAGAGAGTGTGTGTGTGTATGTTGTTTAGACTAAGATAAGTCAATCCCGTAAATGAGAAGGGAGTTCTCTATTTATAGTGGGAGGATTCAGGGTAATAATCATGAGCCTACAGTCCGGCAGGTGGGGTACAATTCCTAACTCGTCTCTTATTGGTTGTCTGCACGAGAGATATCCTTAAATTGCGTAGGGCTTGGATAGGTGGACGATTCCTGATCACTCGCAAGTCTGGCACTCACCCGTTACACTGGCGAGAACCATACCTCTTCCATCACTACGCAACGTGGCAACGTCTAGACTGCACAAATCCTCTCTGAATTTTGATTGGCTCTGGCTGACGAAAATCCACATCAGCCTTAATTTTTTAGACATAACATACTTGATGGCTTTCTCTTCTAGAGCTATCCTCACCCTCATGTCGTAAATGCTCGGCTTGTAATCCAACAGAATCACTTCTTCTTCCGCTTCTTCTTCTTCTTCTTCTTCCGCCATTGTTACACAATACACAAACTATCTTTCTCTCAAATCCCTTCATAGAATGGGTAGGCCTTAGGCCCTTAGGTTAATTCCATGGCAGTGATGCTTCTTGTCATCTAGTGCATCATGATATCAAGGTTAGAAATCTGTTGAATATGTGGTCAATTGTATAGTTTCTGGAAATAGAAATGACAACTTGGCTGAACAATCGTGTAAAGTTTGAAGAATGAGAAATATGTAAATTGATTTGATAGCTCATGGCAGAAACTCTGCTTCCATTTAGTAATGAGATTTACTGTGTTTGGTTACAGGAATAAGATTCTACGTGAAAAGAAAAACTGTTATTCAATGACCTGTCTTTGGAGGAAAATTACAATTAACTCATAAAATAAGGACCTGTTCTTTTTGTTTACAAATTTAGTGCAGTTGCGTTTGTAAAAACTAAAAGAGAGAAAACAAGTATATATATATATATTTCCTAGAATTCCCCCTGTCAATTCTCATTTTCTCTCATTTTCTCTCTATCCAAACACTTTTTAATGTGCCAATTAAGGCTCTCTTAGTGGTATATATAATGTTGAAACAATATACTACTGGTAAAAGATTTTTCTTAAGATATGAGTTCACTTTAGCATTCACTGAACTGGTGTTAATATTAGAAACATGAAACTGACAATATTAGTCGAACTTAAAATTGAACAAAAATCCTTATAAAATAGAATAAAATTTTGGTAATATTCATTGATTTACACGGGAAAGCAATGTAAGATATTTGAATTTATAATTTTATCCGCCCTTAAATATAGCTGCCTAGGCAGAAACTTTCTAAAATTATTAAATATCTTTGATTCATAATGTTTTGAAAAGCTCGAGAAACTCTCTCAAAAGTATCATCATCCCTTAACAAATAAATAAATAAATAAAGTCTACATATACAATACAAGAGATTTCGTCGAGTCTTCCACTTTTTATTTTTTATTTTTTTGACAATTTTAACCTTATTGAAAAAGTCTAAAAATGATATAATATTTTTTAAATATATTTATATTTTATTTTATATTCTTATTTTAATTTTCTTACATAAATCCTAACTCTAAATCTTTTAAATCATTGAAACATTTTCTTTTTTATTTCAAATATTTCTTGACTTGATGAAAATATATTACTAAAACTATAAAGAAAATAATCACACAATGAATGAATCAAAAGAAGAAAAAGTTGTTTCAAATATGAAATTAGGAAAAAATTGTATAAAAAAACTAATTGAGAAATTGAGAAAAGGTAGTATAAACAAAAACTCTAATTAAGTTTGGAATTGGAGAAAATGTGTGTAAGTAAAAGTCTTAATTAAGTTTAAAATTGGGAAAATTAGACACGAACAAAAATCCTAAATTAATATAGCTAAACAAAATTATTTTTGATATTAAATAGGGTTTAAAAATATTTTTCTTTTAAATATAATGGAAATGTATTTAACATGGAGGTTACGAAATGAATTTGGCGGGCTAAGACTATCTTTAACCACAAATACTAAATTGGCGCAACTTTCACACCAAAACAGTACAATTTTTATACTATTTTACTATTTTATCTCTAATCTATTACATCAAATATTACATTAAAAAAAAAAAAAATTTCTAAAATTATTCTCTTTCCATGGACACCAGTGTTTTACACTAATTAAGTGTCTTCGTTGGAGATGCCCTAAAAAAATCACTTCCCAAACAAACTTGTCCCGATTTTTCAAATTATATTCTATTTGCTGTTCATCCATTTGATTTTATACACTATTTGAATGGGTCTATGGGCTTTATAGCAGCAGCTGTGAATTAAGCCCATGTATAAACTGTGAACTCATGGCCCATTTTATTTTTCAAACTTTTATAGCCCATTTTATTTTAGCTGTAAATTCATGCGGAGAACCAGAAGCAGAGCAGCATCACTAGATAAAATACGTGAAACTATTTTAATTCACCCACGCTGCCAGCAGTTAAGATGCAAAATATTAAAGTAAATAATAATGTTAAACAAAAGAACAGTAGTTAAGATGCAAAATACAGCAAATGATCCTAAAACCAAACCAGAAGGACACAGACAGGATCAGAGGAGTGTCCTTTTTCTCTAATTTATTAAACAGCAAAACTACAATAACAAGCACACAAACACAAACGCAACACAAGACTCATAGATTATGCTTGTTCCCCATTTGCAAAATTCTGCCTATTCTACCCCAAACTTCTTCCTCATCTCTGCAACAAATCCCAGAACTTTCTTCTCATCAGGGAGTGACTTTGCAACACTTTCCTTCTGCATACATCTCTTAGCCCACGCAGTGAATTTGGGGCACTCTGCTGCTACGCTGAACTTGGCAAACGTCTCAAATGTGTGAAACCAGCAGTAGAAAGGGATCAAAGATAAGTCGACATACCCAAAGGTCTCGCCTCCGAAGTAAGGCTTGTCTCCAAGCTGCCCTTCCAAGGTCTTGATTACTTCAACGAATTCCTTCTTTGCCGCCTCCTGCTCTTCACCTGTTGTGCTCCATGTCTTCCTCCCAGCATCATATAACTGCAATTTTCTTTACTAGGTTAGCATCTTTGTTATGACATAGGGAAGATTTTAACACATCCAGCATCATCAAGCAAAACCAAGAGAGGTGCCTTGACATTGTATGACTTTAGTTAATTATTTTCTCCAATTAACACATACAATGAAAATGGAAAGAACGAAACCTCCATTCATTTCAAGCAATCAGATCATTTATGTAAATCATGAACTCGGTTTATTCAAAATCATGCCAATCCGCAAGTTCTGAATTCACTGAAATAAATTCCATATATTCCCGAAAAATGAGCATGACCTCCCCTAAAATTCATGGCCAAAACATTTTAACAAGTCCACCATCCGTTTCAGGGCCAAGCAAAACCAAGACAAGTGCCCACACACAATATAAAAATGGAGAGAATGAATCTCCATTCATTTCAAGCATTCACACCATTATGTAAATCATGAACTGGGTTAATTCATAATCCTGCCAATCCACAAATTCATAATTCAATATACTAAGTTCTATAAATTTCTGAAAAAAAGGGGCATAAATTTTCACTACAACCTTTCATTGAGGGAAAAGAAAATTCATTCATTCAATCACAAATTAAGCAACAAAAAACTTAAAAATACTTCAATTTTACCTTTTTGTCAATGAAATCAACCCAGAATCTAGCTTGAGCGCGGTCATAAGGATCAGAGGGAAGCAAAGGAGCTTTATCCTTCCAAACCTCATCAATGTACTGAACAATGACGGAAGATTCACAGACAGGTTTCCCATTGTGAACAAGAACTGGGATCTTTTTATGAATCGGGTTCATCTGCAAAAGCAAAGGGCTCTTGTTCCTCAAATCCTCCTCTTTGTACTCATACTTGACCCCTTTCTCTGCCAATGCAATTCTGACCCTTATGCCGAACATGCTAGGCCAGAAATCCAAGAGAATCACCTCGTCTGCCATTGTTACACAAACTGAAGAGTGAACGATTTTACGCAATGAATAATGATGTTGATGAGAAGTGAAGACCGAAGAGCTTGCAAGGAGTATTTATAGAAAAATTTTGGAGGTTTCGCATGAGGGTAATGATGTATTTTCTCCATGGTCTTGGTCTTCTTAGTAAATTGGAAAAATAAATAAGCAAACAAGATTCTAGGTTCTTCCAAGGTAAGGTCATTGCTTTCGTCACAGTTGCCATTCCATTTCAGAGTCTCCAGTCAAATGTTCATTTACTTTTTTTGCTTTTTATTTATTTGTCTTTTTCTTCCTTTGAATTGAAATTTGAACCTCCTCTTGTTTCTTCTAGTTGTTTGTGGAAACTAGAAAGAATATTTATGATTATTATTATGGTTCGTGATAAATGAAATTTCTTTCGAAAATGGTAGCAAAATTTCTAGAAATTTTCAAAAATTATTAAATTTATCGTTTAATAAATATATGTATGAATGTTTTTGATAATTTTTTCAATAATCTATTTTGAATATTTTCAAGAATTTTTGATAATTTAATATTGCTTAATAATCTTTTTGTTATTTATACAAAACAACAAATTAATCAATTTAGATATAAATTATTTATTTTTCATTTAATTTATATAATCAAAATTGTTAATTATAATTTTTGTATTAGGTTATTATGCATTTAGATTAAGTCAACAACCACTTTTGATCATCTTTATTAGCTTTAAATATTGTAAATTTTTTCCTTATTAGACTAGCTAGGCTTTTGGACTTCCAAAAAAAAATGAAAAAGAAAATTTTCATATATCATTAAATTAATTAAGTTTAGATTAATTAAGCAAAAAATGTAACTGTTGATACGAAAATCATACCAGTGATCCAATTGACTATAATGAAATTGGAATGGATATGTGTGTGATTAATAATAACCAGCAAAGTATAAAAGTAAATGTAGCAATATAAATAACACAAAAAACTTTTTAAAGTGGTTCAGCAAGTTATGATCTTGAGCCTACATTCTCTGTTTTTTTTTTTATTTTGCTTTGAGAGTTTACAAGACACTAATATAGTGTCTCAACTAATTTGCTAAACATTTTTCCATCATTGGAAGAAGTTTATATAGAAGTTATATATAAAAGAAAGAGCGAAATTACAAGAATTACAATTAAGATTAGAATACAACTTCGATATTCTCGCGATTGAGCACTGAAATTGTGTCATTATTGATGTCGATTTGATCCCTACCGAAATATTCAAGATTTGAGTTTATTTGTGGTTTGTTTGAATAATTGTCAAAATTGATCGCAACTAGCTTATACTAGGTCGAGCTATTTCTCGACCAATTTATGTTGGGTTGAGCAATCGTTTAAGCCGAACTGATTCTAGGTCGGACTATAACCTCGCAGAACTCTAACTTCTCCGAGCTTAATGAAAAAATCACACACAACAGTAACCTATTAGTTTCTTCGTGTAAATTGATATTTACTCTTGTGAATTATTTTAGAACATAGTTATTGTTTATTCACAATTTTATTTTATTTTTCTGTTTTGATTAATATGCGTTTTGAAATTATGAGGAAACGTTAATTTTATTGAAAAATTAATCCTATTCCAATTTTAGTTCGAGAAAAGATATTTGTATGAGATAACCTAATTACACACTTTTGTTAACATAATGAAACTCTTCAATTAAAAGTAATCACATATTCATTTTTAAATAATACTTTTCTTTTTATTCAGTAATTATAAAGTATTAATCTATATCAATATCCATTATTGTAATTATAATTTAAATCCTATTATGATTAATACTTAAAAATATCATTATAATAATGCTAACTCCTGCTTTTAAGATAATGGTGTCCCATTTTAAACAATAGTGACGTGTTTAGTTTAATTAACAGTAATTTAGAGCTTATCATTCTCAATCTAGAATTCTCTGTTAATATGATTATTACAACAAACTAATCATAATAAATAAATAAAATAAAGTTATTGAATAACTATAACTATGTTCTACAACCATCTATGTTCAATTACATGCTAATCATGTACTAATTTTATCATCTTAACAGTCAAGTTTTCACACGAATTATTTATGTGATTCTTAATTTGTGATTTTGTATATTGTACAAAAAGAATGATCTTTTTTTATCATCGGGGTGTCCGGACTAGCTTGCACGCACCTTAACTAATCCCCTGAGATCTTAGAACTGTCAACCGAATAAGAGCTCTAGTAGTCACCCTTATTAGTGTCTGATCAGGTAAAAACTCCAATCTTTTATTAATGTATGAAGGACTCAAACTCAGAAGCTCAAAGAATTTTTTTTGCTCTTTTACGATCAAGTCACCTAATGATGGTTAAAGAAATAGTTCTTTATCTTTTAACATGATTTTATTGTAATTTAATAATTATTCATAGTATAGAAAATTTTAAAAGAAAAAAAAAAGTATCCAACTCTCGTGCCAGCCGAACATAACCTAATCAAACTAACAAAATATTTAATCGGACTATGACATACCATACCAAAAATTAATTGGATTATGATATAACACAAAGACGTTAATATAAAATCTTTAATATAAAACGTCAATATGATTCAACTTATGTTTAATGGATCATACTGACATGACACCAATCATATTAACCCTTCTAATTGCAGCAAAAGGCTGATTTAAGTTTAATTTATTTCATTTACTTATTAGACATTGCTTAATATAAAATATGTAAGGGTTTTTTAACCATATAAATGAATAAAATAAATTCGTGTGGTTGGAAAGATATTATCGACCGGCAACGTAATGCTAATGCAAAGAAATTTTGGTTTGGTTGGTTTGATCTAGGGGACCGCATTGAAAAACAGAAAGATACATTCTTGAGTCTAAATTTTATCTTTTTTCAAAAAAAAAAAAAAATAATAAAATAAAATAAAATATATATATATATATAACACAGAATAAATAGGTAGATTTAGGAAGAAAATTCCAAAATAGATATTATGTAAAGTCAAGTCACCATCTTGGCATCAGGTATTTAATTAGTCACCATCTTGGCATCAGGTATTTAATTATTTAATTAAATACCTGATGCCAAGATGGTGATTTGACTTTACATAATATCTATTTTGGAATTTTCTTCCTAAATCTACCTATTTATTCTGTGTAAAAATTTAGTTTCCTGTCTTGACTTATATTGAATACAATACAACCGCCTCTATGAATCCCTTCATATTATATCATAAATCTTTCTCTTAAATTTTATGATAATTTATAAAAGGATGACAACAAGTGTATAATAATTTATAAAAAGAAAAAAAAAAGTGATTTATAAACAACATCAAAGCGAAAAAGAATATTGCTTAGTAAATATCTCTTATTATAAAATTTATTATAATTTTGTCCTTTAAACGGGACAACTAATAGAATGGTGGGGTTAAAAAATCACTTCCCAATTAATTAACTTAAAACAAGAGACTAAAATCTTAGCTTTAAAGCTGGAAATTTTCGACCTCTTATTTTGTGCCTCTCTTCTCTCTTCCCCAACCACAATTTCCAACTTGTTATTTAAGGCTTATTTGGAAAGATTTGGCATCTATGTTAGGTGCATGGAATAAAGTCAATATTTTTTCCAAACAAGGTACCTCAAATTAATTTTTCAACATAGAGATCACAATATATTTGGAACAATAACTACTGCCTCCTAGTTATTAATTTAATATTTAGAGGAAGATTAATTAAGATATGAAAGGAAAATAGCTGTTGAAATAATGTTAATGAACAGAAGTAAAGTCTATCTTTGGCTCTTACTTATGGAATATTTCACAATGCTTTACCTAATTATTATGTATCTTCAGAAGATTACCAAGTCAGTTTTGATAAAACAGACAAGCTAAGGTAAATAAAAGGCCGGACGGCATCCTCCCACTGAAACTTTGCCCTAACAAAATTTACTACTCAAAAAGTTTGAAAACGACCAGTACCCACTTTTCAAAATCTATTAGTGAAATCCGTTTGAAAGAGGATATGATGGTAATTTTCTATGCAACCCAAGATCTAATTTCACGTGTCGTTCACTCTCTTTAATATTAATTTTATTAATAACTCTTCTTTTTTCAATTTTCATTATTTTATTTTTACAATTAATTGTAATTAAATTCTAGAATCCACTGCAAAAAACAAACACATCCACCGTCCACACCTCAACCAAAGCCTCCACCAGGGCCAGAACCACAATGACCTAGCAAAAAAAATAGTTTCAATAACAACGTGATCACCTTCCATCTTAAAAATCCTCAAATCATTCCTTAACTCACATTAAAATAAAAATTCAGATTTGCTTCACATTTAACAACAGAAGGGAGAGGGAGAAAAAGAATGGTGGCGGAGGAGGAGCATAGGCAGGGGTGGAGGAAATGGTGGGGTGGTCGTGGAGGTGCAGGTGGTGAGATTTTGGTTGAATCGAACTTGGCCGGGTGTGATTCAGCCGAATCGCACCGACCGGGTATGGCGCGAAGGAACATGAGAAAATAAGACGGAAGAGAGGGGATGAAGAAGAAGAAGAAGAACACGGGAGGGTATGAGAGAGAGAGAGAAGTAGAGAGAGAGAAAGGGAGAAGAAAGGGAGAGAAGAAGAAGAAAGAGGAGATAGAAGAGGTGGAGAAGATGAAGAGATGAGATGGAAAGAAAGAGAAAATGAAATAAAAGATAATAAATAAATGGGAGAAAAAAATTAGGGATTTTATAAAACATAAAAAGTCAAAATTGCCCTTTAAAGATGAAAGAACATTAATAATATCATTTCTTCAAATGGATTTTACTAACAGATTCTGGCAGAAAGTGCGTAATTATCGTTTTCAAACCTTTTGGGTAATAAATTGTCATTGGGGCAAAGTTCAAGTGGGAGGATGTTATTGGGCCTAAATAAAATGATATTGCATTGAACAAGAAGGTGAATAATATTTTATTAGAGGAAATTATTTTATTTTTAAAGAAGAAAAATGATAGTATATTAACAAGGAATGGACATTTATTTCCCTTGGT